CGGAGTCACCACTTGCCTGTGTGTGTGTGTGTGTGTGTGTGTGTGTGTGTGTGTGTGTGCATATGTGTGTGTGAGAGAGAGGGCGCGCGCGTACGTGCGCTGTGGGACCTGGTTATTGTCCATGGGTCTCCAAATTGGTAGGCTGTGTTTGTGGAAGTCTGTGAGTGTGTAGGTCTGCACAAGGGTGCCCAGGCACAAAGAGGTATGATCTGTGGGTGCACACCCATCCTTAGCCTCAAGGGGCCTCAGCCTTGGCTGCCAGACTGTGCTTAGAAGCACCTGCCCTCACTTACACAATCTCTCCAGCTAACCCACCAACATCAGGGCTTTGTTTGCTTGCTGTATTGTTGATTTTTGTGAGGGTTAAAGAGAGGAGATTTTTGATTTTAGGGGTTTTTTTGTTTTGTTTTTTGGGGGGGTATTTTTGAGACAGGGTCTCCCTGTAGCCCCAGCTTTCCTGGAACTCACTATATAGACCAGGCTGGCCTTGAACTCACTGAGATCCACCTGCCTCTGCCTCCCAAGTGCTGGGACTACAGGCGTGCACCACCACGCCCGGCTGATTTTAGTTTTAACATTTGTTTTCACTGAGACTCTACAGTATTTACTTTCTCCAGTCTGAGTATGTCTCCCTCTCTATCTCCATTTTTATTTCTGTTGCTCTGTCTTGTCTCTACCTATGTCTCTATCCAATTCCTCTGCTTTTTACTGCTCTCCCCCTCTCTCCCCAATCTTCTAGATCAGGGTTTCTTAAACTTTTTTTACTTTATGACCCCTCTTCACCTGGGAATTTTTTTATGGAACCCCAAGTATATAGGTATATAAAATAGGCATACAAATTAAACATTTACTGTTAATAAACAAATTTATCTCATATACAAATAATTTTATCAGTTATTAAAGACAAAAATCATATTTTCTGGGGCTGGAGAGGTGGCTGAGTGGTTAAAAGCACTGACTGCTCTTGCAGAGGACCTGGATTTGATTCCTAGCACCCACATGGCAGCTAACAACCATCTGTAACTCCAGTTCCAAGAGAGAGAATCCAACACACTCTTCTGACCTCCGCGGGCATTGCACGACACGGGTGCACTTACACACATGCAGGCAATATACTCATATGCATAAAATAAAAATAAAAAAAGCAAATTTTCATACTAATGAGATGAATAAATTCTTTACATAAAGGATTTAAATTTGGTTGAATATTTGATACTGCAGTGCATAAACATCTTCAAAGGTTTTAAGAGTTGACTGATATTTTTATTTTTATGACTCTCAATGCTGAGAACCCCACTTTACATAAAAATGAGGTATAAAGTGGCAGAAATATGATCAGGACCATTTCAAAAATTGTTGGAGGGGTGGGAGAGATGGCTCAGCAGTTAACAGCATGTATTGCTCACCTAAAGGACCTGAGTTCAATTCCCAGCACCCACATCAGGTGTCTCACAACATCTTTAACTACAGTCCCAGGGAATCCGATGCTGCTGGCCTCTATGGGAAATTACATTCATGTGCACATACACTCACACAGACACATGTACACATAATTTTAAATAATAAAAATAAATATTAAAAAGATAAATACCTTGTAAAAATTGTTGGAAATTCTGTTCTAATTCCTAAGCCAAAATTTTTTTTTCATGAAACTCAAGTCAGCAATTCAAACAGTAAATTTTAAACTCAAACATTCTAACACAGTACAATCTAAAGATATACAGTTTGATACTTACACGAGAGCAGGAAAGTATCAAGCATCTTTATTTTCTGTAATTAAACCATTATGTTTCTGTAGGAAAATAGCTTTGTATGTACAGTAAAAACACTGCAATTCATAATATATAATAATCTCCAGTCTGAGCTGAGGTGTTTCAGGCAGCATTTGTTGGCACTGCGTGGTGTGATGGCAGGGGCAATGGGAAGTGTGCTGTTGTGCTCAGAACCAAGGCCGCAGTGGAGTCGTATGTATGATGCACATGAGCAAGTGCTGCCAGAAACATATGGACTCCATTATAGATTTGATTTTGAATTAATTTAGGGAACATCACACACCCAGAAGTTTTGTCACATTTCTTACAACTCCTACATTCAGTTATGTGACTCCATAGGGAGTCGCAATCGCTTGTTTAAGAAACTATATTCTAGATCTTTCTTTACTGCTGTTCTCTTCTTTTTCTGTCTTTTCTCTTGCTTGCTTGTTGTTCCCCCGGTATCTGTCTCTTGTACTTACTCTTCTTCCCTTTTCCGTCTCCGTTTCTGTCTCTTCCTCTGTTATCTTTGTTTCTGCCTTTCCCTCTCCTGTGTCTCCATCTGTCTGTCATCTCCCTTCTTCCCTCCCTCTCTACCTCCCTCCCTTTCTCCCCCCACCCTCCCTCCCTCTCTTTGTCACTCTGTGTATCTGATTGCCTCTTACATTCAGTCTGTCTCTAACTCTATCCTTTTCCCTTGCCTCCTTTCAAGGCTAAGGAGTATGAGCGTGCGCACATTTACACATACACATCCGAGGGCTGCTCCATAGTTCCAGGTGCCGTAGGAGGCATCAGGCCTTGAGGGACTGAAAGAGACTTTACTATTCTCGTTTCCTCCCAAGCCCCTGTCCTAGCACCCTCTTCTTGTCAGTAAGCCACTACCTCTGAGATTTATTGGTACCGTCAAAAAAAAAAAAATCCTTCTTTTAGGTGACAGACTAGGTTGAATTGAATTGGAAAATGATGCAAAGGGAATGCCTTTACTGGGAGTGAGTTGGCCGACCTTCCCTAATCTATCCCCTAGGCAATCCTCAGCCCCAATAGCAATCGTGAGCTTCTCCAAGTTCCAGCTCCATGTGGCCTAGTCCAGTTCCCATCCCTCTGGGAAATGTCCTATCACCTTGTCACATCCCCACACCCCCTGCTTGCACATAGCACTCTCCTACTTGTTAGGCTGCTCTCTCAGGAAATCCTGTGTGAATACCTCCAGGGAGCCCTCTGTACCCACCAGTTCATTTAGTTCCTCAACCAATTACCTTGGCATCTTTTCACCAAGAGCCTACCATGTGCATTTTTCTGCCCTTTTAGAGGGGTGTGAATCCATAGACCCTGCCTTTATGGAGCCTCTGTTCTAATAGAATGTGACAGGCAATAATCTAATTTTTAAAAGGAAATGATATTGTTACAAGAGATATTCTAAGAAGAGGGAAAGGGACATGGGGACCTCTCACCTCAATTATTTCAGAAGCCTCGTCAGTAATTTCCCCATATCTACCTTTTGTGATACACGCTCTGTTCTCACAGCAATGAATGTGATTTATTCAACTCTGAGCCTGAATCAGATCTTGCTCTGTTCAAAAGCATCCCAGCTTATTCTGTGTCAAAGTCCTCAACATGGCCCCTATGATCTTTACTTGCCACATTTCTGACTTCACCTCCTACCACTTGCCCCTTGCTCGATATTACACTCATCACCACTTCTTTGCTCTTCCTCAAATGTGCCAGGACTAGCTCCACCTCAGAGCTTTTCTGTTCTTTCTGCCTAGAATTCTCTTTCCCTGAGTAGCCACAGGATTCACCTCCTCACCTGTTTGCTTAGATGACTCCCTCTGTGGTCTTCCCTGTCCACCTCATCAAAAACATCTCCCTCACCTCTAGCACTTTTGATCCTCCTCCCTCCTTTATGATTATTTTTTAGGACACTGTCGTTATCTGATGATACACTAACTTCACCTGTGTCTCTTCTTATTCCCTGGAATGTCAAATTCCACAGGAGTAAGAGTCTTTATCTGTCTGGTTCCCAGCTATATCCCTCAGTGACCAAGACAATGCATAATACAAAGTAGGTGTTCAACAAATACTTTTCAGTGAACCAACACAACAAGCATACCTACATTTTTATATTCAGTCATAATCTCCACTTCACCCAAAATAAAAGCCAAAGGCCACATCATCATCCACAGCCCTACAAAATTTGGTCCTCCGCCATGACTTCACCTCCTACCACTGCCTCCCTCAACTGCACCATTTTAGCAACACTAGCTTTGTCACTGCTCCTAGAGCATGCTTGCACACTCCTGGCCATGAGTAAAGAAATCTTTTGAGGAGCATAGTGCTGTAGGCCTGCAATCACAGCACATGAGAAGCCAAGGCAGGAAGATTCCAAGTTCAAGGCTTGCCTGGGTTATGGAACAAGTTTGTGACTAGCCTTGGCAACTTAACAAGCCCCTGTTGCAAAATTAAAAATTTAGGTAAATAAAAAATGCATATATAGCTCACTGGTAGTGCTCTTGCCTACCATGCCTGAGGCCCCAAATTGAATCCCCAGTATTGCAGAAAAGAGAAGACAAAGAGAAGAAGGAAAGGAGTGAGGGGTAGAGGGAGGGAGGAAAAGGGAGAGAAAGACAAAGAAATCTAATGAGTGACTGCCAGTATTTTTTAAACAAAACATGAAATAAAATAGAAATGAATGAGTTATATTACACTTAGGTTCAGTACTGTTTTGTAGTAAGTGTACGTGTACGTGTGTGTGTGTGTGTGTGTGTGTGTGTGTGTGTACTGTCTTGTGGGTGGCAGAAACATGCTTGAACACAACCTTAGGGCTTTGTAAAGTGGAATAAGGGCTGCAGCATCATCTTCAACCCTGCAGCCCCACCAGTGGAGGAAGAAACGAGTAACTAAGACATCAGGAAACATCAAACACCTACCTATATACCTAGGAAGGAGGGATACAAGCAGGAAGAGCTGGGGAATCAGTGGGAAGGACTCGTAGACCCGCTAACCCTACCCTTTCTGTTTCTTTCTCACTTTTTCCATCTGTTTCTTTTCCCTCCCCGCTCCCACCCTCTTCCTTCTCCCTCTCCCTGTTCTCATCTCTTCCATTTCTCTGTGGTTTTTCTATCCATTTATATTCCATTTTAAATCTCTCATTACTTACCACTCTGTCACTGTGCATTTTTCTCTGTCTGTCTCCTACCCTCATCTCTCCGCCTCTGTGTCTGTATCTCTCTCCATTATCCCCATTTACAGGTGTAGCCCAGCAGGACAACTGATGGAGTCCTCCAGGGCCCATCAAATACTGGACTGGCTGACCCCCTAGGGTTGGGGGTAGCCCTTGCCCCTCAGTATGGCCAACACCACTGGACAGCCCGAGGAGGTGAGCGGCGCACTGTCCCTGCCATCAGCATCGGCTTATGTGAAGCTGGTGCTGCTGGGACTGATCATGTGTGTGAGCCTGGCAGGCAATGCCATCTTGTCCCTGCTGGTGCTCAAGGAGCGTGCCCTGCACAAGGCTCCTTACTACTTTCTGCTGGACCTGTGCCTAGCTGATGGCATACGTTCTGCTGTCTGCTTCCCCTTTGTACTGGCTTCTGTGCGCCATGGCTCCTCGTGGACCTTCAGTGCACTCAGCTGTAAGATTGTGGCCTTTATGGCTGTGCTCTTTTGCTTCCATGCGGCCTTCATGCTGTTCTGCATCAGCGTCACCCGCTACATGGCCATCGCCCACCACCGCTTCTATGCCAAGCGCATGACACTCTGGACATGCGCAGCTGTCATCTGCATGGCCTGGACATTGTCTGTGGCCATGGCCTTCCCACCAGTTTTTGACGTGGGCACCTACAAGTTTATCCGAGAGGAGGACCAGTGCATCTTTGAGCATCGCTACTTCAAAGCCAATGACACACTGGGCTTCATGCTTATGTTGGCCGTGCTCATGGCAGCCACACATGCCGTCTATGGCAAGCTGCTCCTCTTCGAGTATCGTCACCGCAAGATGAAGCCAGTGCAGATGGTGCCAGCCATCAGCCAAAACTGGACATTCCATGGTCCTGGGGCCACAGGCCAGGCTGCTGCCAACTGGATCGCCGGCTTTGGCCGTGGGCCCATGCCACCAACCCTGCTGGGTATCCGGCAGAATGGGCATGCAGCCAGTAGGCGGCTGCTGGGCATGGACGAGGTCAAGGGTGAAAAGCAGCTGGGCCGAATGTTCTACGCAATTACACTGCTCTTCCTGCTCCTCTGGTCACCCTACATCGTAGCCTGCTACTGGCGAGTGTTTGTGAAAGCCTGCGCTGTGCCCCACCGCTACCTGGCCACTGCTGTTTGGATGAGCTTCGCCCAGGCTGCCGTCAACCCGATCGTCTGCTTCCTGCTTAACAAGGACCTCAAGAAGTGCCTGAGGACTCATGCCCCCTGCTGGGGCACAGGGGATGCCCCAGCTCCCAGAGAACCCTACTGTGTCATGTGAAGCAAGCCAGTAGGTGACAGGCAGGGAAAAAGTTATGGCCACCATGGTGGGGCCAACAGCAAGGGAAGGGCAGGGCCTCAGACAGAAGCCTTCTTTTCTGAGCTTCAGCCCCAGACCCTCAAACCATCCATAATTGAGGCATTTTGCCAACACCTCCCTAGGGTGGGAAACTGGGTGAGGAACCGAGAAAGAGGCATTTCTAGTTTTGTGGGACCTGTCTCCACAGCCTCCTTCTCCACTTCTACAATCTCATATTCCCATTCTCTCCCTGGTTCCCTTTCCCTCACCGCTCTCCCATCTTTCTCAAGTGACCATTCAGTAAAACAAAACAAAACTAAAAATGCAGGGTTTTCTATAAATACTAAGAGCTGTGGAAACAGGCTTTCTTGCTTAAATGTCTCTCCTTCTGACATCGTCCAGAAGGGGGGAAATGTGTCCTGTAAAATAGATTTCCAGAGATCTTATTGCTCTCTGTGCTCCCATTCATTCTTCCCTTCCAAGTCCTTTAGCAAGTCTTGGATGTTTAGGAAAAATTGATCCACAGCTTCAGACAAGAGGGACCAAATGGGCTGTTGGGTTCCTGGGGAGCAAGAATGTTTAAATTGCTATATTGTGTGTAGTGTTGCTTTTGGCTAACCTTGATCCCAAGCCCAGTATCCTATCCATCCCTGCCATGTCCAGACCTCAGAAGTGCTTCTTGAAACTCTGTTTTAGAAGCCAAGAGCATAGGGAGAAGGGCTTCAGGATGGGCCAAGGCTAGGTGGGATGATGAGCTTCTCAACCAGCAGAGACCAAACTCAGCTATGTTCTCTCAAGCATCCTCCTGGATCCCCAGCTCCTGAACTCTCCTTCCTAGGGATATACATCCACTCCAGCCCTCGCTAGGGATGATATGGTGTATGCAGAAAGAGACAGCCCCCCATAGAAGTATAGGGAGGGAGTTGAACTCCCCAGAATCCCTGGACCCTTGAGCCCAGGGTCAGAGCTAAATTCAACCCCAGAATTGCCTCTTAGGTTTACACTACTCTTCTGAAAATAAAAATTAAAAAAAATTGGCCTGGGGGGTGGTAACTAATAGCGATACAAACTCCAAGGCACTGTGGACTTGTGTCCATTCCTGCCTGACCTCCTTTTGTCCCTTTCAAGCCTCACAGACCTCTAGCCCCTTCTTAGCTGCTCTTGGTCTTCTGAGCCCCAAACATCCTTCTTCCCAGGAGTTCTTCCTCTCCGCACCCTTACCTATACCCAAAGTGGAGCAGACTGTATCCAGGTTCTCCAGATGGAAGATCCCAAGCCTCCTTTTCATGGAGAGAGTCCACTCTAGGCTTACTTCGAGACCAGTTCTATGGACTGGTGAGCCAAGCTGTCACTCTTTACCTGAGCTTGCCTAGGCTCTCTGTCCCCCTCTTACTTCCTGCAGGGGCAGTTATTGATCTGTATTTATCCATCCCTTTTCCTTTCTTATAAGCTCCTGTCCTAAAATCCCTCTCTACCCCAAGATAACCCCTGAACAGAAGAAGCCTTGACTCAAAAGGAATGAGGGGAGCACTCTAGGTAGGAGACTTATCAATGAGCCTGGCTGTGGAGTGGCCCTGGAAAGGCAGATCAGAGTGACTGAAAGGCTGGGAGTGTGTGTAGGGAATGTGGGGCCATTTTCTCAGTGATGGTGATAGGGGTGCCTTTCTGATGGGTGGGGTGGAAAGACCAAGGGGGTGGGGGCAAATATAGTAGACTCAGGAGGGTTTTCCTCCATTTCTTTTTTCTAACTGCCTGGATTCATCATTGGATTTTGTAAAGGGAAAAACTGAAATGAACAATGTTATATTGGATTTTTTTCCTCCCTCTCTCTCTCTCTCCTCTTCTCTCTCTCTCTCTCTCTCTCTCTCTCTCTCTCTCTCTCTCTCTCTCTCTCTCCCCTCTCCCTCTCCTGTGTGTCGTCTTTGTGCCCTATCTGTATATGATTACATGTGGGGAGGTATGGTTGAGTGAGACAATGTGTGTCTGTGTGACTTTGTGTGGGTAGGAACCCCTGAGGAAAACTTGCCTGGTACATATATGTGAGCAGATGCCTGTATGTGGAGAAATAACCACACACACACACACACACACACACACACACACACACACGCACACACGAGGAGAGGAGACAAAACCTAGTATGTGCCTGCAGCAGGAAGTAGAGTGCTTGGGAGGTGGAACCTGAAAATTCTACATATGTATGTGTCAAGAAGGTCAACTCCCATTTCATAAGATTGTCCTCCCCTTGGCCCAGCTTCTGAGCACCAGGTGAGGAGGGAAAGATACTTGAGAACCTTATCTCCTCCCAAAGTCTGGAAATTCAGTCCCCTCCTCAAAACTCAAACATGGTATTTCTGAAATTGGACCACCATGGAAAATTGGAACTAGGAATTGGGAGTCAACCATGGGGGCCATGTGGTTAAGAAGTGGCCTCCTGTAACATAATAGCTTTTGAAGGAACTGCTCAGTCTGAGCTGGGAGTCCTTCTTAATGTATACATCTGGGACTTTGTTCAGCTTCGATTAAATTTAGGAGATATTTCATGGAGAAAAGGCCCAAATCTGGGGCACTCTCTGGGCACTCAATTAATTGACTTTATTTACTTACTCCTTCAGGTGCACAGAATTGAGCTGACCACATTCCTCAGTTCTTGGCACGCTATATCATCATTGGTCCATGCAAGGTTCTTTTATTATTTTGATTTGTCCCCTTCATCACCCATCCCTGATCCCATCCTTCCCCACCCCACATAGGCACCCACTCTTGTGTATTTAATGTATGTCCTTTCAAACCACCGTTCATGTGTTTATTTACTTAAGTGTATCTGTGGGAAATATGGTATTGGTGTATTTTAATTTACATAAACAGTATTGTACTATAAATCTTGTTCTGTTTCTTTTTTCACTCAACATTCTGTTTTTGAGAGATCCAGCCATGTTGCTATACATAGATCAAATTCATTCTAGTGGTCCATCTAAAACATATGTCACATTTTCCTATCCATTCCTCTGGTGATGGATCACTAGGTTCCCTCCCTCCACTACCACAGCAAGGCTGCAATGGGCAATTATCTCCTCTCTTTAGGGACGTCTAATTTAGAAGAAGTAAGGTCAGAGAGGGGCAGTGATTTGGTTAAAGTCCCAGTGGAAGTCACCTGTGAGATGAATTCTTGAACGAAAGCCGAAACTCCATCATGCCTCACCAAAGACCAGCCATGTCTGGTCATTAAAAAATAAAATCCTAGGATACGATTAATAACAGCATACACTTGGGAGGAGACATAATTAGTAGACAAAGAGATTTAGAAAGTTCTAGAAAAATGTAGACGAATTGAATCAATCATTTTTATGACGCAGAGGAAGCTACTTTTTGCGCCTGTGATTATTTCTAGAGCCGTTTTGCAGAGATTGAAAAAGCTTTGTCAAAACCTGACCCCTCAAACAAAGACCTTAGATGCCTTAATTACTAGCACCGTAAAGCAGCCTGCGAGTGGGGGGCTGCAGCGCCCACCCCGGGGCACAAGCCGGTGGTGGGGGTGCAGATTTAAGAACTGCGTAGTTGCTCAGAGAGCGGGGCGGGGGCGGGGAGAACAAGAGCGAAGCTCTCGGATTTCATTCGAGCACATCTTGTTCGGAGCTTGCGTGCCCTCCCACCCACCCTCTCTGGGTCTGGTTT